GGCTAGAGGAAAAATCCTGCCCCCATCGGGGATCGAACCCCGGTCGTCCAGCCCGTAGCTAGTCACTATACTGACTGAGCTATCCCGGCTCATATATAACAAAACCAATAGGCTATCAACAGTGGAGAAGGAAGAAGTAATGTACCGAATCAAGCCAAGCATTTTTAAGCTTTGTGAATATATATATAGTTAATGTGCTGATGGAAATAAAGTTTACAGTCCAATAGAACACCGAGATCTTTAACATAATAAGAACGTGCCACCAGATTGTTACACAATTTGTAATTAAAGTAAATACTGTTTGTCTTCCGGGTGAATGATATAACAGTCGTTTTACTTAAATTAAGTTGCATCCCATTCACGAGACACCAATTTTGCACTGAATGAATATCGTCCTGTAACAGTTTGCAGTCATAAACATCGCTAATACGCCGATATATCTTTAAGTCATCAGCAAATAAAAGGCACTGTGAGTTATGTATGGAGTCGCAAATATCGTTAATAAATATATTAAAAAGTAAGGGGCCTAGGGTGGAACCCTGAGGCAACCCCACACTTAACACAATAAGGATACGAAAGAGTTTCAGAGACACGAACAAAGGATTGCCTGTCAGAGAGATAACTATGGAACCAATCAACATAACTAGGTGATAGTCCAAAGTTTCTAAGTTTCCCAAGAAGAATATTATGAGGAACTAAGTCAAAAGCTTTAGTAAGATCAAAGTATACTGAATCTGTTTGTCCTTGAGTACTAACTGAAGGTAAAACGGAATTAAGGTAAGTAACCAAATTTGTTACTGTGGAATTAAATTTACGAAAACCATGCTGTGAGGGATTTAATCTGTACTTAAATTTGTTTTGCACTTTTAATGTTCTGTGTACATTCGGTTACATTACTTATATATTACTGATTACTCACTGACATTGTCCCATAAATAATTTCCATGACTAATGTAAATCAATGACGCTAAATTAAGTAATATTTACCCCTCCTTTATAAACCATTTACTTATGTAACAGAACTTGCAAGTATTACATTTACCTTCCTCATTAAAGCAGGTTACGTAACTTCATTCCCCGTCTGAGCTTCAAGGTCTCTAGACATGAACTACGTTACATCTCTTGGCGTCATAGATGGAGTTAGGTTTTCCTGTCGCCTCAGAGTGATCGATCAGTTGGTCCTTCGCCTGCAGGAAATGATGCCTTCTTGTAACAGATGTTTGTAATTGTAGGTAAAGAATTGAGTTTATTTGTAACGCAAAGAAGGAAGTGGGTGATAAATACATAATAACGAGTGTGTATGTGTCTGTGTGTGAGGGTCTGTTTCTGTACTGGTGAGTTCTAAAGAAATAAATTATCTCGCAATGAAGGTTAATATGCAGTTCTGGATAAAGTGTTCGAAATTTATCCCGATGACAGAAATACCAGTTGATGTTTCTAATGGTGAAGCGTTGTGTTTTCTCTGAGGTACGGACTGAATTTTTAAATATTCGGTTTCAACGACGACATATTTCGACAGGACCATTAATGCCATTCTCAAGAGGGGTTGTGTTAGAAAATCAAAAATAAATCCGAAACTAACTTACATAATGACACCAGAAAACCATGGCTTAAAATCTCTAATATCTAAATCAGCCATTGAACAATACCCTGAATTACTTCCACCCAACTTACATACTACTTTCAACCTATCTCCCTAAGACACAAATTAACGTTGTCCTTTCATCTCCTTCTAGGTCTTCTATGAGGGTATTTTGAAACAAGTTTCGACACCAAAATTATATGTGCATTGCATGTATATTGAATATTTACTGAGGGTGAAATAAATTTCTTTCCGAATTTTATTACGTCAGGCCCGCTCAACTGCGGTGGAATGTGATATGCGGTTAGATTGTTTTTTACCAATCTTGCCCGAAAACTTTTCAGTGGTCTTATCATTCGATATGTTTCGTTGAATATCACAGAAAAAACTATCTCTAAATCCAACATATTTACCGGAAATCAAACCCATGACAGTTTTATGGTCTTTTCACCTTCGTTCGCCGTAACAGATAAGTTTAGGTTCGGAACCATTCTTCTATTAAGCTTAGTTTTCGGGTACCAGAAACCATCTTCACTGGGAATGAAACCCACAAATGTTTTTCGTTGTTATGATACGTGATTCTTCAATATTCTTTTTGAATCTGTCCAATTTTCATAAATTTTAAAATTTCAAATAACTACACTCGCGTACTACTGTTTTATATTCCAGTCCAACAAAGTAGAACTTTGTTTCAATGAAAATCACGTGTGCGCATGTTTGAGTTTGTGCGTGTGGGGGAAGGAAAAATGTATCTTCAGCTTAGGCTTGGCATTAATGAGATTAGGCGGTTATGAACTTCCCCCTCTCGTTCCCCCCCTCCAAACTGGAACTTTCGCCTTCATTTATGCAGCGTGTTAGTAGACCCTGCATTTGACCAAACGTGGCCGAAGTGGTAGTAAGTGGAGCTGTACTTGCAGAAGGACACACAAAGTCATCAGTTTTTAGAGGAGACTTTCCAAGGCAAGTGACATACCTTACAATCTTCTTAATACCTTAATTGACCTTATCTTGAATTTAGTACGAGAACAAATCAGGTGTTTAAAGTGAGCACATGAGTTTATGGTTGCCTTAATATCTGAAACTACTCTACGAATTTTGATTAAATTTGGTAATATCAGTCGACATAACAGTTTCAGATCTAAGATTCTCACTGTAGTAAAGATGTCAATTCTGACCTTATGCAAATATAAGAACAGCCCCAAATAATCGGTAAATTATACTGTGAAGTTGCATATTAATAATTTTAAACAAATAATTGTACGTTTAGACGATGTCACAATTAAGAGGCCATCTTAACTGACGTGAGAAACTCAAATCTCATACAATAAGTAACTACTTCTTGTCGTAATAGACAGTAATAGATCTATGTTCCTTCAGCTACAGACTATAAAATCATAAATAAATTTGCACATAATTGTCCAATTGTCATGAAGTCACCATGACGTCAGACTTGTCAGTCATGGTAAGATTTGAGGTTTTCACAGCGGTGAGGTGTCTTCTGGGTTGTTGCGCTGCGTAGTCTGGTCGATGTTTACCAGCGTTTCAGAGGCCCCTACTGCCTCCGTCATCAGTAATTATTGTACTTTGGCAACATTTCAGAATAGTGAAGACTTATATTATCAATACTTCTGTGTGTGTCTGCGGGATATCCTTATCTATTCACATAACAAATATTTTTTTATGAGAATTTGTATAAAAGTTGTGTGATTAATTCAACAGACATTTTTGCACTGCACACACTTAACAATTTATCATCGGCTGGACGGACTGCTTTTTACGTTTTCCACAATTATTAATATGATAACACAGTTTAGTAAGAATTCTTGGAGAAAAGAACTACTGGCAACCTACGGATAAGTTGTAGATATAACGTGTCGTGGAAATTCGTTGTTTCAAAAGTTAATGCTAAGACACACGAACTAAGAAACTGCGTGGTTATGAAGTGTGTATAGTTCAGCGGTGGTGAATAGTAAATACAAGACAGGGAATTACTTAACAACCTCAATGACTGTCAGCTTTTCAATGTTTGTGTTCCATAAACTATCGACGTTTCGAAATTATTTTTATGCTAGCCTTCAGACGAAAAATACAAGGCAACAAACTGATAGATGCTATTTAATATTTTGTTTATTCTGATAGATGAGGTGTTGTGTCGCCTTGGTGCTAAGTTTAATTGTCACCAGTGCCTCCGTCGGAGAATCAGAAGCTGCGAGAATACTTGCACTCTTCAGTATGAACGGTAAAAGCCATTTCGTCATGTTCGAAGCTTTACTCAAAGGTCTTGCTGCCCGAGGTCATCAGGTATACGTCGTTGGACACTTTCCACAGAAGAACCCGGTACCAAACTACACCGATATCAGCGTGGAAGGCTCATTACCTGAAATAGTTAACAACTTTACAGTCGAATTTGCTCGAAATTTGGGATACATTCAAATTTTTAAATTTATATGGAATACTAATTTAGAAATGTGCAAAACTGTGTTGGAACACCCTAAAGTACAGGAACTGATTCTTAGTGACGGAAAATTTGATCTTATTATTACAGAAATATTTGGTCCTGATTGTTTTTTGGGGTTGTCACATCGTTTCAAAGCCCCGTTCATAAGTATGATCTCCAGCGTAATGATGCCGTGGGGAAATGATCGAATTATGAATCCTGATCATCCAGCTTACATACCTAATTATTTCGTTTCATATTCAGACCACATGACCCTTGGTCAGAGAATTATTAACACGGTTTCAACAGTAATTTCCAAAGTAGGGCATTACTACTTCGCAGAATTGCCTATGGACAAAATATCGAGACGACATTTCGGGAATGATGTACCTCCTCTAGCTGAACTGAAGAAAAACACAAGTCTTATTCTGGTCAACAGCCATGTTAGTCTCAATTTTCCGAGGCCGACTGTACCAGGATTCATAGACGTCGCTGGCCTTCACATACACAGCAAAGGAAAGTTACCAGACGTAAGTAGACTACACGCGAGTTTGCCAAATTTTAATTTGAACGACAGATTTGTTTTTAACTCTTTAAAACATGAAAAGTGAGAGAGAGAGAGAATAAAAATAGGGAAGAATTTAGTCTGGACCTCAAAGAAAACACAACACTTATTAACTCGTTGATGCTGTTTTCATAAATTGTAGCTATTTAAGCTAAGAATCATATTAAACGCGTAATTAAATAATACAGTATTACTGACTGTTTTAGCAAATGGTCCTCACAAGATAATGTCACTGTGCCGTATCCTGAAACAAATGATGCCAGTCAAGATTCTCATACATCAGACAAGAGTCATCTTAATATCATATTCCCAACAGATTTTCCTGTCAGAATGGTGAACGAAATTCTCTTCTCTCTAATACATGCTAAAATATTGATAATAATTATACAGACCACCTTCCCTGCAGATATTATTTGCTTCAATGAAAGATTATCGCTACACAAATATTCAATTATTCTTCTCGTCACAAAAGTTTCATTCAAATAAATACAAAGCACTCCCCACTACTCTGACCCCCCCCCCCAAGCGTTATACAATGGCCACAATAAATAATTTAAGTTGTAATTGTATTACATTTATCAAAATGACACACTGACATTATCAGAGGAAAGTGTTATTATTTTTTTTACTAGGATTTGGAGACGTTCATTGACGAATCGAAGGATGGAGTGATCTACTTTTGTCTCGGGTCTTTGGTTCGACCAGAAACGCTACCTAGGGACAAACTGGAAGCATTTATCAGCGTTTTCTCTGAGCTGCCACAACGCGTCATATGGAAGACAAACAACATTCCCGGCTTACCAAAAAATATCAGAGCCTCCAAATGGCTTCCACAGTTCGACATACTCAGTAAGTCCACAATATCAGAAAATAACGAGGTTATTTAACGGCGTTACAACTGCGGACATCGGATAGCACTGAACGACATGAGAAAATAAGCATTAAACCTTTGATATCGAAGAGAGGGAGAATTAAGAAGGATAACACAAGAGTAGAAGCAAACAGAAAATTGTTGGGAAGTAGTGAATGCTTGATAACTTGATTTGTTGGTTAGTGAGTGTTGAAGGCATAAATGTTGCGTAAGTAATTTTTTGACATCCGCAGTAAGGGGATAAATTTTGATTAATATAAATCTGCAGATCTGCATAAAAAGGATGCTTAAAGACTACGGAATAAGACCTTATACTGCAAAGAAATCACAACGCTATACCATTATAGAGATTAGCTGGTTAATTTTTAGGGAAATAATTTCTGTTTACAGCAAGCATCATATGTAACATATAAATACATAATGTATTATTTATTGTTGAAGCAGGCGAGACAAAATTTATCATTGGTCTTTAAAGGATTAATAGTAGTAAGGCATGGGTTTTAAAGTACATGGTCGTGGCCTATTTTATGGTACTGTCCGGGCATGTACACTGAGACATGTTGAATTTTTTTTTAAATTCAGAGTGACCAGCAGCTGGGACGAGAAGTATTTCGTACCTGCTGAGTGTAAGACTAATGTTACGAGCTTAAGGGATTGAACACTTACAGGTCACCCAAATGTCCGAGTGTTCATGACCCACGGAGGACTAATGGGGACTCAGGAAGCAGTCCAAGCAGGAGTACCTATGGTCGGAATCCCCCTATTTGCAGACCAGGAACTCAACATCAGAAACTGTGTGTCCAAAGGCACTGCTGTTATGGTTCTTTACGATGACGTCACGAAAGACAGCATACTAAGCGCTCTACAGACGGTACTGCACGACCCAAGGTGAGATGCAAGAGTCATTTAGTAAACAGTCTTCAATCCAAACACAAAGAAACACGACGTCTCCTCAATAAATATGTACTTTAATGCGATTAGTATGGAGAATATCATGCACTGTCAGCGATATACAGCGTGTTCTAAAAACATGTAAACACAATTCAATAAATAAAATAAACACATTTTAACAAACTAAACCATTACACACGTCAGCGACAAATGACAGTTTGTTTAATCACTAAGTTTAAATGTAAAAGATTATGAGAATTCTGAAATGCTTTCAGGCTTTGGAAAAGAGTAAATAGGTTATACCAGTGGTATTCAACCTGGGGTACGCGTACCCCTGGGAGTACGCGAAGACATCTTAGGGGGTACGTGAAATTAAAAAAAAAGTATTAATTTATGACAAACACTGAATAATCAATAATGTAATTTATTTAATTTATTTTAAATGTAGATTATATACTATGTATAACTTGAATTATACACCAACAACTTTGGGGGTACAAAGTTGAAGAGAAATTATATCTGGGGATACGCGAACAAAAAAGTTTGAATACCACTGGGTTATACAAACATAAATATACATAGCACGTCTATTTTGCCTATCTGTTCTTGAGCGTCGTTTCAACGGGGAAACCCCTGAAACGATTCAGCAAGGATTTACCAACAAACATTACCACTCGTACATAACAAAATGTAACTAATGCAACCTTTGTTATTATTTCAGTTACCAGAAGAATGCTAAAGAGTTATCGCGTCGATTCCGCGACAGACCCCAGTCACCACTTGAGACCGCCATTTTTTGGACTGAGTACGTCATCAGACATCGTGGGGCGTCGCATTTGCGTTCTGCTGCAGTGGATCTTACTTGGTACCAATACCTTCTGCTAGATGTCATGACAGTAATTGTGATGTTCGTCGTCGTAATGTTAGCGACTACGTACTTTATCTTGAAGAAACTGATTAGTATTTGTTCCGGAAGTCTGACGAAGAAAGTAAAGACTAGTTGAGGAATAAGAGTAAAGTGTCAAGCATTTGCGGCAAGAAGCTATAGTCTGTCGAATTTATTATATTGTAATACCAATATGTTATAACGAACCACACTGGTGTAATGTGAGAAAAAAAAGAAAAAAGAAATTAAAATATTTTATAACAAAGTGCTTAAGACATATTTTGACCTTGGGCCGATCAATAACGTCAGTATTTTTGGATTTTTATATTACGAGTATCGTTATATCTGTGCCTATTTGCGATATTTATTATAATCGGCGAGAATCGGTTCAATTAAAATAAACCACATAGAAGACAAAATCTAAATGAGTGTATATTATCTTTTATAAACACAACACAAAAGAACTATAAATGAAATTACAAAATATACGCTGGTTTCGACGTCCTCTGGATGACCAACACAAAGTAATAAGTAAAACACAAAACTTACCACAGGTAACCGGGCGTTACACCTAGGAGTTCAAAATAGATTTTTTTCTCAAATGTGGAGAAAATGATCATGAAGAAATCTGATCAGGAAACGTCTTGGGGAAAGATCACTTGATAGATAGATCGATCCAAAGATCCAAAGGTTCTTAGGACAGGATAACCAAGTCAAGAGAAAGCTCTTGTCTAGTCTTAGAAGAGTCTTCTGTTCCTTTAGGGATTCCAAGCCTTTCCCAGACCTGGGGCCAAATACAAACTTTCGTAATGGCTTGAGGAGACAAAGTTATATACATAATCAATATTAATTAAATTTCATGAAAAGGCTATTAGAAGAGCTACCAAATGATGCTTATTATTTCAAACATGCTCGCATGGGCCCAATACTCAGCGATTGTCTTGAATAAAAAAAAATATTAGTGAGATACCTGGCAAAGATTTTGCTTCGGTAATTTTTCAATAACGGGTTTAATTTTATTAATTCGCAAGTGATAGAAGTGCCAAACACTGAAGACAATAATAAAATAGATTTTCTGATAACAGGCAACTATTATTAATCGTAAAAATTTTGTAAACCGGATTGGTGTCATCACACATAATTAAAACAAATGCTACTGAGATACCGCAAAGGAAATTATAACGAATCTGGATAATGCGAGTACTCCATCAGAGTACAGCTTTCAAGTTTTGTGATAACCACAGCGAAGCATGGAACTGCCTTGGATCGAAAGGCAGAGCCGATAATAACTGTTACCATTCTTGGTGGTACTCCACGTGATTTTCAGGATGAGTAACTCATTCTATGGAACAGAATTTTCATTAGGAAACTCCCAGTCGTTCAGCCACTGAAGAAATTCCTAACCTTTAATGGAAAAAGAAGAATCAATGTCATGTTTAAAAGAGCCTTCCATTGGTTCATATACTGTGCCAAAAAATCCAGCCCATATCCTTTCACCTTGTAACTTCAATATTCATTTTAATATTATCCTCTTATTTATTATACCTGATTTAAGTGAGTTTTTCTCTTCAGGTATTCGTGTCAAAAATTTGTATGCATTATCCAATCTCTCATGTAATGATCATTTTAATACTCGTAATACGTGGTGATGTGTACAAATTGACACTTCTCATTATTATGTATTATCCTCTCCTGGTACCTCTTCTCTCTTTGGAGCTCGTATTTCGTTGGTCTTAGGTTAATATACCAAGAAACGTAGCGGTCTTTTCTACTTAATATTCGCGATTAACGTATTCCGAACCTCTGCTCCATGATATCTAACAACCACTGTCCAAAATTACGATCCAATAAAAACGCAATGAAATCTCAAAAGACTAAAGCAATAGGATTTTCTTTATTACAGTCGCTGACTAATGACGAGGTTTGCATGTCCACAGTTACGGTTGGGTAAAAATTCTGACGCAAAAACAACTATTCGGCGACAGAATTTACGTAATTCTAGGTGAGTTTTCAAGTCTTCAAGGCAATGAGAATGAATATAACTGTCTTCTGGGATTCTGCACTGTGTAGTCTGGTAGATATTGACTGACGTTTCAGAGGAGCTTATTGCTTCGATTATCAGTGTCTTGATCGTCCTGATAATAGAGGCTGTATCCATAACGTCTGTACGAACTTTAACGAACCTCTGGTCGGCGCTATACGTGAAGAGAATTATAGACGAGAACCGAAAAAGTCGTTGTTATTAATTGGCGTTGGACGAAACGTTTGGTAAACCTTCAACGTAAGATGTTCTAGGAAATTATATTTTTATAAAGGCCAAGATATTGGACGGGTTTTGTGTCCGGTGGCGGGGATTTGGTACAGCGTTCCTTGGCCCTGGGGTTGTGCTACCTTAATATAATTAGTTTCTTACGTAACGACATGTTACGTACAGTCATGTTTCCATGCTTGAATTAGCAAAGTGGACTGCCGAGGCAAGTGGTATAGCAATACATCTTGTATCATACAATAGGAAGGTTCTAGTCGCTTGGTTGGTCATCATTTGCTGTTAAGCAATTTTCAACTTCATACGATAATATTAAGGTATGTGTAGTTATAAAAGTTGCCATGGTAAAGTTTTTACGAATGTTGGGCCTTATTGTAATGATTTATTAAAATCCCTATTTTTTGTTATTACTCAATATAAGTCAATTTTTTAAATTTCAGGACATTAAATTATATTAAATCCATTTGTCAAGCGAATTTTCAACTTAACTTTGGACAATGCTTTTACAGAGCTAAGAAATGAAAGTTTCGGAATTGCATTGAACAAACTAGCTTCTCATCTACTGGTGACAACTTTAATTTACTACGATTAAACATAAATAAATAATATATAATACGACGGCAAGAATGGTGACCTGGAAATGAACACAGAGAAAGATGATTATATTATATATATTGTATGTTTGTTCACATTTCGTCAGGGAAAAATCATAATAAGAAAATGTTGTGAAATACAAAAATTTGGAAACTTCAAAAGCAACTCAAAATTATATTCAAGAAATATTTAGGATAAGATTTTAAGTTGTGATACGGCTACTATCATGCAATTCAGAATTACGTATTTAAACGATTTAGATCAGGGAATGTGTAGAATGGAGTACGTAGGTAGATAGATCCACTTTACAGATAGATACAAGTGTTACTGTGGGCGAAATAATATTAATGACCAACACCAAACATTTTGTTCGTTCTTAATTACAGAGGCTTCACAAAAGAAGACAGCCATCTTCGGACTTACCGAAGTGAAAACACCAAATCCTACTAATTCTACCCGTCATTTTGTATGGGTTTGAAACTTGGTGTATCTCACTAGAAAATGAATATACGCTCAGGGTATTTGAGAACAAGTGGTGATGAAAATATTTTGACCAGAGAAGGAATAGGAGACTGGGAAAAAAAAATTAACGAGTTGCTCTAAAAACGACAGAAAATATTACAATAGTCAACGATATATACTCTGCCACTCTCCCGAAGTGTACCACGTCACAAATCCCCCCCTCCTAATCAACTAGATGCTTCAAGCTTCTTCCTTATTGATAAACGAATTATTTTAGGTTACTTTTTATTGGGCGTTGCTGAAGCCATTATATGTCACTGGCACGATCTTGATAACAACACAATTGTTCGTACAAAATCATTCACATTAATTGACCGAAGACAGAGCTCAATCAGTTGGCGTCAGTGTTTTATTCGACTTACGTTGGACATATAGCAACATCGTAAGACATAACGGTAACCATGTTCTGAAGTGAAGAGTGATTTAAAAACAATTGAGTTATGTAAAATATTTTACAAGTTTAGATAACGTATCTCAGAATTTGACACGGCTCAGTGATAATTTCACAAACTTAATATTTTCCTCCTTCTAGTCCCTAAAAACAGAAATATACCTTATAAAAGTTCCCCCCCCCCTTCAGAAGATTATAACGTGTTTTGGATATATCTCATTTTTTATTGTAGAAGATGAGGTGCTATGCAGTGTTTGTGCTGAGTGTTTTAGTCGCCAGTGTATGTATTGGCGACTCAAAATCTGCAAGAATACTGGGTCTCTTCAACTTCAATGGCAGAAGTCACTTCGTCATGTTCGAAGCTTTACTCAAAGGTCTTGCTGCCCGAGGTCATCAGGTACACGTCGTTGGACACTTTCCACAAAAGAACCCGGTTCCAAACTACACCGATATCAGCGTGGAAGGCTCAATACCTGCAGTATTTAACAATTTCACGGTTCCTGGTGCTGTGGAATTTGGAAAATATGATAATGTATTGAGGTTCGTCTTTCAGACATCTGTAGATATGTGTGAGATTCTGATGGAACATCCCAAACTACAAGAATTACTTCACAGTAATGAGACATATGATCTTATAATAACAGAATTGTTTGCTGTAGATTGTTTGATTGGTTTCTCACATCGTTTCAAAGCCCCGTTCATAAGTATGACCTCCAGTGTAATGCTGCCGTGGGGAAATGATCGTGTTGGAAACTCAGATCATCCAGCGTACACGTCTAATTTTTTCCTACCATATACGCACCACATGACGATTGGTCAGAGAATTATAAATACGGTTTTTACGGAAATTTTAAAACTGGGGCATTACATGTTTGCTGAATTACCATGGGATAAATTGTCCAAAAAATATTATGGTCAAGATATACCTCCATTATCAGAATTGAAGAAAAGAACAAGTCTTATTCTGGTCAACAGTCATTTCAGTCTGACTAACCCAAGACCTACAGTTCCAGGAGTCGTTGAAGTTGGAGGACTCCATATACAGCATGGTGGGAAGTTACCAGAGGTAAGCTGTACGTGTGTTAATGGTTTTCCTTAATCTGCCTTGTACTTCCAACAGAACATGTTCCAACAACTGAATCCTGTTCCGTCCTAACGTAAAATTTACGGAATACCTGTAATGTTGGGTCCGTTACGTAAAGGGCTAATTTGCTGTGTTGGCTTGACTAAGGCAGCTTAGGATAGGGTTCATTTGTGAGATATTGTAGAACGTTGATGAACATTCTTGACAGCCGAACACTACTGACTTTTCAATAAATACAGAGAGATATCTGGTTATACATCATACGTAGCTTTTAGTACAATGTTAATTATTATGTACTTCGCAAATGTATGATTTGAAACTTTAAGGCGAATGAATTTTATGAATCCCTCCTAAGAGATCGGCCATATCAATGTCCAGTTAAAAATCAGCGTTTAGTGCTAGTATGAGGAATGACCATTCCCCACACTCACCCCGACGATGAAGACAGTGGTAGTCTTCAAGGCGCTGGCTTTTAAGCCAACACTGACACGGACGATCCCACCCCAGAGGCTTTTATAATATGTTTTATTTTCAACAACTTATTTTAATACTATTCATTTGTTAATAGGATCTGAAGAATTTTTTGGACAAAGCCACAGAAGGAGTTATATACTTTAGCCTCGGATCCTTGATTATGGGAGAAACACTGCCTGAGGACAAGTTCGAAATCTTCACTGCCGTGTTCTCACAACTTCCTCAGAGGTCGTGTGGAAGACAGACAGAAATGTCAGTCTGCCGAACGTCAGAACCGCTTGGTGGTTACCACAATTCGAAATATTAAGTAAGTTTATGTTCTGTTCTGGGTTGTGGCGCAGTGTAGAAGTTTCTGCGAAACGTTGGTGTCTACATAAGGGTCTACACTGCACCAGAGCTCAGAATTTTGCCAGATTCAACGCCGTTTCCGAGTTGGTGTGGCCTTACAGTAATTGCCTATTTTTACAAATTGTAAACACATTTTCTTAACATAACATGCCAGTTAATTAATTATTTTGTAATAAAATAAAAAAGGAAATTATGGCCTATTTAGCATTTTTGAATCTTTACTTCAAAGAGGGACTATATTTTTGAGAAGTTTTCTATTCGTTTCTGGGCGAAACTCAGGTCATACTACGAAAATAAAACAAAGTTAACACCAGCGTTAAGACGACTCACTTGGAAACGGTGGCGAAACTGAAGAACAACGTCATTTAACATTTTATTCTCCAAATTATCTCCTAGTCGAGAAGTAGAAGGGAGGATAACATTAAGACGGATCGGATCTTCGATGATATGACTTGGATTTTCATTGAATTGTCTTAAATACGGGTTTTGACATTAGTCGACCTGATGTTCCGGGCCTGCTGCTACCACAGTTAGTCTGATGCGACATTTTCCTACATCTCTACAGGTCACCCAAATGTCCGCGTTTTCATAACCCACGGGGGACTCATGGGGACACAGGAAGCTGTCCACGCAGGGGTTCCCATGATCGCAATTCCCTTCTTTGCTGACCAGGAGCTTAATATCAACAATTGCATACTCAGGGGCTTTTCTGTCATGTTAAAATATGAGTCTATCACAAAAGAGAGCCTGTCGAATGCACTGAAGATGGTTCTACATGACCCCAGGTAGAATGTACTAATAAATTACAAATTCTATGAAGATTTCTGTCTTCTGGGTTCTTGCACCGTGTAGTATGGTTGATGTTTACCAACGTTTCAGAGGTCATACTGTCTCCGTCATCAGGGCGATGAATTCATCACTACACAGCGCAACAACCCAGAAGACAGAAACTTCTTACAGATTCTAGTTTTAAGATAGCCAATTCTAAAACTGCTTTTTACACATTTTTAATTCCATGTATAAAACAAGTATTAGTGTCTTTCCAGGTTGATTAAACACCAACAAACTTGTCTTCCACTCGAAAGTGACAAGGTTCGAACCTTAGTTGAACTACTGAAAATTATACCTCGGCTACTTTTTTATTTCTAGGTCCAATACATTGTTTCTGTTTTAAAGGATATATTTAACTAACTAGACAGGCTACATTAATCTGGAAAAAATTGCTAGAAGGTGTTAAAAAGAGATGTAAGTAAAATCTGATACTTTGCATTTCCAACCAATTATTTCAGTTACCAGAAGAATGCTAAAGAGTTATCGCGTCGATTCCGCGACAGACCCCAGTCACCACTTGAGACCGCCATTTTTTGGACTGAGTACGTCATCAGACATCGTGGGGCGTCGCATTTGCGTTCTGCTGCAGTGGATCTTACTTGGTACCAATACCTTCTGCTAGATGTCATGACAGTAATTGTGATGTTCGTCGTCGTAATGTTAGCGACTACGTACTTTATCTTGAAGAAACTCATTGACATTCACAGAAGTAATTATTGCAAAAAATTGAAATCCAGTTAATGAGAACAAATTGAACAAAAGCTTGTTACACTTTCTATAATGACGATTATTATGTAAAATTACTCATATATAAAGGTTGGTGGTATGTTTATGTAAATTACTGCAACAATCAATAAAAAATTAAAGTATCGCTGTCCCTCTACACGTCATGTAGGTCATTGGGGGGCCGAGATCGAACCCCAGTAGCCCAGCCCGTAGCTTGCCAATTTTCTGACTGAGTTATCCCGGCTCGTAAAATGCAGTAGTTATATAAAATAAATAATAAACTGTAACACGTTGGAAAACCCACACATTCGACCTCTTCTTAGTTTAATGTTATTTTAAAACAGAAGGGCATCTGTCTCCTGGTCACACTACTACGTTTCTAGACTATTGACTAATTCTTTATTATCTTGAAAGAAGTCCTCTTTCACTCCTCCAAAAATAACATGACTCTAATAATCTGCTTTATGTGATCCGAAGTGCTTTTATTAACAAAGAAAGTAGAACGAATTTAACCCTTTGGAGTGAAGCTATTCTAAGTAATATTTAAGCATTTGGTTCGTACCGAAAAGAAAACACAACAGCTCACCATTACAAAGATCAACTGGTTAATTAAGTTTCAGGAACAGCCTTTGTTTATTCTGAGAATCACACAAAACACACCAATATAAAATGAAGATTTAGGTCTGCTCATTAGTGAGTTAAATTGCTAGAGCAGCTGGTAAGTATAGTTGCCAATGGGCTTTAAATGTTGAACATTTAAAGGCCAGTTCTTTAACAATCATTTACTGCATTTTGTAATTCTGACTTACAACTGATTCTCAATGTAGACGGGGACTATGCTCCTATACAGTACCAGTGAAAACGGATTTTCTATGATTCGTGGGCTCAGATATAAGGCACATTCAGTCTTTTTTGGAAACAAAGTGAAGACTGAACCATGCCCTTATATTCGACATCTTCACCCGGTATCTCATGTTAGTGAATAGAATTCACTGCATTGTCAACCAACGTCGGTTGGAAGGTGAAGAACAGATATAATAAACGTGTGATTCCCCAAAAATGTATCCTTTACAACCAGTGTCAGTAAAGCAGTTTTACTAATCTAATAGGGCATTTTCAAATGTGTCCATAATTTTTTAAAATCTCATGAATAGCCTATTATTATCCTGTCTCATTTTGTAACTATTACAATCATGTTTCATTTACTGGCTGCAAATTTTGTGAAAATGTATATTTCTTGGTTACAAATGTATTTTGTGTTGCTCTGTCCGAAGGAACTGAAAATTTATGTTACTTTCGATATTTTTCAGGTCACCATTACGGATTACAAGTTTTTGTAATATTACAGACACGCTTAACGTTGTGAATTTAATTGAACGTTATTTTGTATTTATATCAACCATTACTGTACGGTCAACATGAACATCACCGTGTGGAAATTTTGTACTTTTCACAATTAAATCTTTTGACGTAGCGAAGGTTACTGCTCTAACACCGTTATCATTACTAAGTGCATGGAGACTCTCGCTGCCTATTGTGGGTTTTAAGATATCCTCCCTCCCAATTTTTGCATTGAAATCTCCTAGCAGAATTTTCATGTGATACTTGCCAAATGTATCAAATACTGATTCCAGTTCTTCATAAAAGCTATCCTTGATATCATCGCTTTTGTCCTCAGTTGGGGCATGAACATGAAGGACAATGATGTCGCACCAACGTCCTTCCAAAATTACGTAAGACAACCGGTCACTAACAAATTCTACTCTCTTAACTGCTGCCCTAATTCTGCTATGAACAAAAACACCCGTCCCTAAATGATGATTGTCATTCCCCTTTTCATAGAAAAATGTAAAATTGTCCACTGGGATCGTGCCCTCCCCCTCCCATCGCACTTCCTGCACTGCCACTAAGTCTAACTTATAATTCTCTAATTCCTTACTCACTGATTTCAAGTACCAAATCTCATGCCCTTTTTCAGTTGCCTTGTTCGTGCCAAAGAGTCCGTCCTGGTCCGAGGCTAAGTTAATTTTTTCGTAACGATGTTTTTTACGGTAAAAGGTTGTTAGGCTTACGCCCAACCCCCCAACCTGGAGGACCAGGGTATCACTCTTAGTCTAGCACATCGCCTGAGACCTGTCCGGCTTGGGTGACCCTACCATGAGCCGAAGCTCCGGCTGGCATAGCCCTAAGGGTCATTTGAGCACGCAAGCCTCCTCACCCGGCAGATTGCCTTCGACATTTTATAAAATGTCAATAAGATGAAAATATTCTAAGCATACTTCGATTTGTGAAGACGCTTTACTGAAATCTTAATTTAAGTTCTAAAAGAATATTATTTCTGAAACTTTCAATATTTTGTTCAAAGAAAGCAAAGTTCGCGCTCCGTTTTGTCTCAGAACTTGGTTTGGAAAGATGGTAAACACGATCACATGGTAAAAGGAAACTCGAAACTTTGTACACAGCCCTAATATTTGCATTTGTGGGCATTGAGCACCGTTTGGGTCCATCTAACTGAAAGACTCGAACAGCATCACATTCCCTAACTCCGGATTTCGAGAAGGTTTCGGGGTGGGGGGAAATTGACTTTATGCTAGCAGAACGGACCAAAACGGGGGGAAGTGGAATGAGAGCAGGGGAGCTATTTAGATGTAAAGTGGACCCAGAAGAGGGCAGAGTTTAGATGTGAGAGGGAGGGACTTCTGTTGTAGACCTGGCAACCCTTCATGATGCAATCTGGATTCAGTTTTATTCCTCCTGCGAAACCCAAGTATTGAAGAGGATTTCTGTCCGTGGAAGCAGCCAGGACTTCGTGTTAGGGTGTCAGGAATGGAGGTAACAAACATCAGGCCTAGATTGTTTTTCACTTTCCGAACCCAGGGAAGAAATAAAATTAATACAGAATGACAAAAATGACGTGAAAAGTAAGAAACGAAATTCTAATAATGACAATGACAGTCTTCTGGGGCGCTGTGCCGAGTCTGGTAGAAGTTTACCGACGTTTCAGAGGTGCATAATTATAGCGATATGATGGAGGCAGTAATCACTTCTGAAACGTCTACCGGAAGACATGGCACAACATCCCAGAACACACTCATCTGTTCTGTTGAAGGATCACATCATGATCATAAGATGTTCTGAAGCAAATGATAAAAATCACCTTCAAAATTTAATTTCTGTTCCATTACAAATTAAACTTAATTATTATTTTCTTTCTCAAATTCTGTAAATTTTCACATATTCAAACAATTTTCTAGTTGTTCCTATAAATTATCATGCAATGCACGAAACAGAGGCGTGATAAATTCACTTTTCCCTTCTCGACTACCTAACACTTTTGAATTACTTAATATAATTGCTTTACTATGTCGAAATTATTCATGTCTTCCTCTCCATACCATCACAGTTTAATACTATTAGAGTGTTGACACTTCTTCTTCAAGTTTCACCACCCCTGGGCCGTTATCTCTTCACACGTAATGGCTTATTCTAATTTGTAGTCGATAGTCGCAACTGCGAGATTCAAAGATGGAGTCAGCAATTTCTCTAAGTAAACCGCTGTTTAACCTGATACGAAAACATCGCCTTAAGTCACTTCTTAGAAAATTGACAAGAAAGATGTAAGGAAGGTTTAAAAGAAATCTATATGAGGGAGATTACCAAACATAAAGATTTAACAGACTCCCAAGCGGTGTGTCGTTTACACACAAGCATGCTTCATCATCCACGAATCCCTTACAGTCAACGTTCTTCACTTGATATAATGTTCTAGTAAAACCAACTCCATCCAATACACTTCACAGCAAAAGTTAGTTGATGGGGCATCCTTACACTGTTCAGATATCCCACATCAGAGATTATTTAGTTCGAAGATTTCTGTCTCCTGGGTTGTTGTGCCGCATCGCCCTGATGATGGAGACAGCAAGGATATCCGAAACGTTGATAAACTTCTACCAGACTGCACAGCGCAAGACAGAAATCTTCTTACTCACCGCCGTGAAAACCTCAAATCTTACATTATTTAGTTCCTTTGATATACCTAGACGCTTCTGGTGACATTGTGCGACTGGGCTATCACATTCGGATCTACTGACTCTCCCTTATAGCAAAAACCTAATCGACAATAATAAAAAACCAAAAAACCGCGCTT